CTTCCCAAATTTAGTAGCCTTAGTAATATTTGAGTTACACCTCCCAAAATTTTCCACTAGCAGTTCCAATGAATTTGGACAATCACAATATAGAGAACTATCTTTCAAGTTATTAAACAAAAAGTATGCGGAAAGTTTGCGGAATTATTTTTTTTACATTTCTGAATAGAATTACTTACGAATAGTAAATTTAAGGAAGGAGCAACTCTAAGACACTGGATTGTTTTAACTGATCCCCCACCCCAAAACACAGCCCAGAATAGGATTTACATAATCCAAATCAAGGCAATTTTTATTTTCCTCTATGTCCACTGAGTTTACCTGGACAAAATTAAGATTCATATTTTGCTTAAATAGTTATTTAAGTAGCTGGATTAGTTTGTGTAATTGTATGCAACAGATGAGAATCAGCAGCGACTGTATCAGAACCATTGTAAAAGCCTAACTCTTGTCATGGAGATATTCAGAATAATTTATAGTTGCTCCTAAACAGAGATGAGCAGCTTTCCTCTGGCTAAAGGGCTAAATCAGGTTTATATGGCATGATAAGAGATGCCTTCTAAAATTGAGTGGGAGAAGAACCCAATATTTTAGATATTTTTAAGTTCCCATAAGGAATAGAAAAAACACCTCAGTCACTTACCAATTCCATTTTGATCACTACCATCCCCAAATACCAACAATCTTAATCAATTTAAGTTTTTTTTCCCCTACCTTACAATATGTACTAATTTAACTTTACTGGGTTATACAGATTTTCCTTATGAATATATATTTAAAAATAATTACCATTTGTACTTTTAGTTATGTGACCTATTTTGGAGTGATTTTAAAGATGGCTAAAATAGATGTGCCATGTAAATCCTGTCAACCCTTTACTAGCATCAAACCAAACTGTCTTTGCTTTGTAGAAAAACATCTGGGTAAACAGGAAAAAGTGAGATAAAGTACAGCAGCTGTGAACAACATAACAAATCCAAAAGAGAGTGCTACTAATCACCCCCTCTGAAATTCACTTCAGAAGTAAGTTTGCACATAGCTTAGAAAGTACTGAAGCAGTAACCTGTCTCTTAACACTCCTTCAACTTAAGTTCAAAGAGAAGGGGAAGAAACTGGTTAAGTTATATGACTGTGTCTTCAAAAGCCCAACTGAACTAAATAGCTTATCCACAAGCTGATCATTATATTCTCAGTCTTTTCCAAGTATTTAAAATCAATTCTGACCTCATAATCTGAAATTTAAGGTTTTTTTCATGCCTCAGGACACTAACTTGTATTTACTTGTAAGTTCCTCGTCATAAATTATTTCTGCGAATTAATGAGTGTGTAAAATGTAGCTGTGTGCCTAACCGAGAGACAGTTCTGTCTAGTAGTTAAGGTACCTGGCTAGAAAGCAGAAGATCATGAGTTCTAGTCCTGCCTTAGCCATGAAAACCAGCTGGGTGATTTTGGCCCAGTCATTCCCTTGCAGCCCAACCGCACCTTACAAGGCTGTTGTTGTGATGAAAAGAGCCTTGGTAGTACAGTGGTCTAAGGCACCCTGTTATTAAGCTGGTTATTAAGACCAGCTGCCTGCAATTACTGCAGGTTTGAATCTCGCCAAGGCTCAAGGTTGACTCAGCCTTCCATCCTTTCTAAGGTAGGTAAATTGAGGACCCAGTTGTGGGGGCAATAAGCTGACTTTGTATAAATATACAAAAGGATGAAGGCTATTGCTGAGCACATTGTAAGCCACCTGAGTCTCCGGAGAAGGGCAGCATATAAATCAAATTAAAAAAAAAAAAAAGGAAGGTACGGTATGTTGGATATGTTTGCCACTTTTTGTTATTTGTAAAAATAATAAAAATGGTATACAAATAAATAAATAAATTCTAACTACAAACAATGTCTACATCTGCTATTCCAGGCATAACCTCATTCTTCTGTATTTGTGAAGCTCCCCTCCGAATTTAGAACTGTTATTGATTAGCATTCTAAATGATTGAAGTTTTTTTTTTCCACGTTATACTGAATACTAAGGGGATAAAGAAACAAAGCAACTTTTGTGTAAGGCAAATTCTCATGATGACATAAACTGAAACTGAGCTACCATATCTTTGTTTTATTCAAATATCTCTTATTTTAGCTACCTGCAATATACATGGATGATTTTTTTTATTCTTCATTTATAAATAAAAGAAACAGAATGCTTCATTCTACAATGGCGGTCTTTTGCTAAACTACTAAAATGCTGGAGATATATGAATAGATCTCCCAAACATTTTAGATTCAGGAAGACGCCTGGATCATAACTGGATTAGAATCTATTAAGCTCTTCCCTCCTCTTTTATTTTCCCAATATAATTAAAACTCTATCAAATTATTACTTGATTTGTTATGGAAAAGTTACAACTATATATATTTTCTCTAATGAAAGCAACAGAAGCTCAGATATATCCATTTCAGTTGCGAAAAATCTGTGAAGGACAAACATCAACAGATAGTCCATCCCATTTCCACTCTATCTGATTTCAAGGAAAATCCATATACATTTAGCTTCTTGTTCAGTTTGGCCTTGGGCAACGTGTACACCAAGTGATTTTTAATCTTGTTTGAGATAAACAAGATCATTCATTCTGAGATGCAAAATGTTCTCCGATTCTAGGATGAGATATACAAATAAGTATATTTTTCTGAGTAAGAAAGATTTTTCTGAAAATAATAATTTGGGCTTTGTAAGTACCAAGTTAGGAACGCAGTGGCTCAGTGGCTAAGACAATGAGCTTGTCGATCAGAAGGTCAGCAGTTTGAATCGCTAGCACCGCATAATGGAGTGAGCTCCCATTACTTGTCCCAGCTTCTGCCAACCTAGCAGTTCAAAAGCACGTAAAAAATGCAAGTAGAAAAATAGGGACCACTTTGGTGGGAAGGTAACAGGGCTCCATGCACCTTCAGTGTTTAGTCATGCCGGCCACATGACCATGGAGTCGCCTTCGGATAGCACTGGTTCTTTGGTTTACAAACGGAGATGAGCAGCGCCCCCTAGAGCCGGAAACAACTAGCACGCATGTGTGGGGAAATCTTTACCTTTACCTAAGTACCAAGTGGCATATTTCTACATGCCAATAAATATCATTTGACCAAACATGGAAAGAAATAGTTATCTCCATATAAGAAATGTAGAAAATACCCTGCTCTCTGGAGAATCTGAATAATAGATATGAATTCCATAGCCTTATTTCCCTGTAAAATACCTGGATAATATTAATAATTGAAGTAGAGATGAAAGTAAGATCTATATATATGCTTTATATACAGACTCAGGAAAAGGAAAAGGAAAAGAAAGAAACCATTTTTAGTTCAGATTCTGTATTCATATTTGTTTAAGTTTTGCTCGTGTTTCCCATTTTTAATATTCTAATCAAAAAACAATATTCAGTTCCTTTGGATGGAAACATTGTCAGTATTAGTCTTTCAGCAGTTCACTGCAGGTTTCCTGCATAAATCTCTCCACACCCTTACAGATGTTCGTATCTCAGTACAGATCTATTTCCCTTGAGTATCAGCCAAACCATTAAGAATCTGCATTTTAAGGTGGGAAGAGCTGCATGCCATCTGGGAATGGAATATAAACTATCCAAAATCTGTTTAAGTCTTTAATTCTTCAAAAGTCACCCTTGAACTTCCTCAATAACGTGGGAAAACAAGGATATTTCAAGGGGGACACAAGTGAAAAGCATGCAATGAGAGGGTATGGCAAGTGCCATGGGGACCACCAAACATTAAAATGTATTATACTGCAAATACCATCTTGTTGAAACCAGAAGACACAGCAGTTACTGCCCCAAAGCTCACATTACTCAAGTAATACATTACATTAAGTGTGTAAATGCTGATCTTCTTCACCGGAATGGGACCTACACATGGGGGGACACTGGGGTAGAGGACCAAGAATGGACCAAAAGAACTAATTATGAAAACTGGATTTATCTTCCGTAAGCAATTCCTTGGATTGTTTTATCTAAGTGAGTATACAAAATTCTTTTCTCCTTGTGTTGGATACCAGCCAGATAATGCTACAAGTAAAATATAAGGCTATGTCACCATATTTCAGGTAGAGTGTGTAAATACAGGCAATGTATCCTCAAAGAGCATGTAAGGTAAGCCTTCATAAACCAAAGTGGTATATTTAAGACACTGGTTTGTTACCAGACAACTGTGAGAGCTGGATATTTTCAAATTAATTGATTTCAATAGGTCAAAAAAATGTATACCACTTTAAGTTACATAAAGTTTTGAAAATTAATTTCTCAACTACCAGTTAAGTTTAGCTGAACAGTATTGTTCAAATTAGTAGAAATGTTCTATTTTTGACCAGAGTAGTTCCACAGCTGTGTATACAACTGACTTCATGGAAATGTACTAATTGCTAATATAATTTATTTAAATCAGTCTGTTTTCTTTCTTTGGTTATATATCTGTTTCTAGATTTTTGAAGCACATCAAACATTTGATCCCAGAAGAGGTCATTAAATTTCCTTTCTTCCTTTTCAGTCATTTCTTAGTGCTTCTGAGGGGGAAAAAAGTTTGCTGTTCCTCAAGTGTCATTTGCATTAATTAGCTACTGTACCTTAAAAATGCTAAGAGCCCAAATCTCTTAATACTGTCTTTTTAATTCTTTCCAATAGCTCTTTTAAAATGGCATCATTAAGCAGCACTTGCTACTGATTTTGAAAGGGCTCTCTGGAGCACCGCATCATTCTATTTGAAATATTATTCAAAGAACCACACAGCAGTATTTTTAAAAGGCAGAAAAACAAAGGAGAAGCCTGGCAAGTTAGAAACATCCATCTAATTCTAAATTAAGCCTTTCCATGCACAACACTATAAACCTTGTGGAACCTTGAACACAAATCTTTTTTTTTTTTAATAACCCAAGAAGCTCAGAGATTCTGCCTAAGTTGCACTTTTTAGTTCAGCCCCCTATGAGAGATACATTGCATAGCATTTTATCTTCTTACCCTTCGTGTGAATGGAGAGCAGCACAAGGAAGGAAATGTGAAGTTGCCAATTCGGTTCATCTAGCCAGTTCATTTCAGCAAGAAGCAATAGCGGCAGCAGCTCTAGCAGTTCTCTTCTTTTTCGCTTGCTTCGTTCCCAGAGAGGCTCTCGTGATCCCGCCTCTCAGCAATTCAGATGAGTTGTGGCAGCAGAGCCTAAAGAAGAGAAGTTGAAAGACAAGCCTGTTACAAACTGGTTCTGTCACCACATAGTCCTCAACTGATCACCCTTGGAGGAAGGACAACAAAAGGGCAGCAGGACTCCAAGCAGGACTGGATTCCTGAGACAGGAGCATGGACTGATTGCTGCCCACACAGGGAATTCATGTAAACTTAGAAGTTGCAGCAAATCAGGAGAAAGAGGGAGGAGAGAAACTCAGATAGAATGAGAAAGAATCTCAGCTCCCTTGTCAATTTCACACTCATGTTCGCAAAACAAAGCCATGCTGGTTCAAAAATCAAACACGTAGTTTCTAACAAGATGTATAATTCTGCCAGGGATGATCCAGAAACAAAAGTAAGTCTATTTTATTCACCTCCACAAATGTAACTGTAATTTTTTTTTTAAAAATATTGTTTCACAGAATGTATTACACTGGCAATTGCCCTTTTCTGACAGCACCCCCCCACACACACACAAAGGAACGATAATAAATAAATCAAATCTTACTTCCACTATTATTTATAAGTTTCTAGGCCACCTAGAAGCCCCCTGAGGTCAACAGGCTGCTCTCTCCTACAGGGTGGATTTGATTTAAATCGAGTTGATTTAAATCACAATTTAAATCATGATTTAAATCACTAGTAAAAAGGCTTGATTTAAATCAACTCGATTTAAATCATAATTTTTAAAGAGCAACTGTCATCTCTGCTACTCCTTTGACCCACTGTTGACTCACCGATAGTCCCAGTGTTGCAGAATATACAGCCTCATGCGACATAACTAAGCTCCATTTCATGCTGAATAAACTAAATTATTTATGTATCTTAAATAGAAAACTATCCTACGATAGATTTTTACCCCAAAAGTTTTTTATTAAAATAAATTCAATAAAAATCAAAAAAATCTGATTTAAATAAAAAAAATCCGACTTAAATCAAAAAAATCTGATTTTTTTTAATTTTTTTTTAAAAAAATCATTGATTTTTATCCACCCTGCTCTCCTATGTAAGTAACCCAGTCTCATCACAAAACCCTGTACGTGTTTTCTTAGAAGCAAATTCCATTCTATCAGAGGGAGTTTATCCTTTGGTAAAGGGATCCATAGTGAAAGTATTGGGATAGGATGGAAAGATCCAGATTCAAATCTACCCTTATCATCCATGGATACTCAGAGGCCAGTCCCCCTCTCTTGTTCAGCCTAACAAAGCTTATATGCATAAATATCTACAGCAGGGATTTCAAACTCAAGGCCCAGGGGCCTGATCCGCCCCGTGGGGTGCTTAGATGTGGCCCACGGCGCCACCCTGGAAACAGCACAGGACTGGTCCGTGGTGCCTCTGCCAGCGAAAATGGAGCTCGGGAGGGCCGCATGCAGCCCTCCCGAGGTCCATTTTCGCTGGCAGAGGGTTGCAGGAGGCCGTCGCAAACAGAGCTCAAGAGCCCATTTTCGCTGGCAGAGCGCTCAGGCCACCACAGACGCCCCCAACACAAATGATGTCGAGCTGGCTATGCCCACCCTGGCCACATCCACCCCAACCCGAGGTCAAACACAACCCTGATGCGGCCCTCAATTAAATCGATTTTGACACCCCTGATCTACAGGATCAAATGCTTTTCTCTCAATGACAGAAATTCAAGGTCCATCCCAATACAAGCTCACACCCTTTTGTAAAGGTGGCATTGCACCGTTGCTGTTTTTGTCACTTGTCCTCCCTCAAACTCCCATGACCCCACCTGCAGACATGTCTGTGTACAGGGGTGGCTGCCACGGGGATAACAAGATAACAAGTCATCTTTGACTTCTTGTAGAAAAGAGTTATAAAACTAATAAATAAATTAAATTATATCTTTCATCTAGGTCCATTAGTTTAGTGATCGTAATTAGTTTAGTGTCTATGGAAATTGTCAGTCATCCAGGTCATGGTTCTTCTTCAGCTTTGAAGAAGCTTCTCGAGTGAGAAGCAAAAAGTCTTCAAAGAAAAACAAAAAGTCCAGTTACGTCTTGAAAAAAGCACCTTTGGGATAATTAGTTTAGTGTTCTTCTGCTGGACTATATTAAAACACAAACTTTTCTCCTCTATTTCTCTGGAGAGCATTGCCAGAGAAGCATGTCCTGCTTCAGTCAAGGATTATAAGAAAAAAAGCCTTACTATTTTACTGCTTGTAAAAAAAAATTGAAACATCAAAAAAATAACTTGGAATTTAGCACATAGTCTCTAGTTAAAGTGGTCCATACTTGTTCCAAACTTCAGTTCAATCCTATAAAAGAATTCATGTTTTAACATTCTCTCTCTCCAACCCCCACCCCACCCCCATTCTGCAGATTTGACATCTATACGCTTTTTTAATATAATTTTGGAAAAGTACAGGTAGTCCTTGACTTATGACGTAACTGGGACTAGAATCACAATTGCTAAGCAAGGCAATTAAGGGAGTTGTGCTCAATTTTACCATGGTTGTTATGTGAATCACTGCAGTTGTTAAATGGGTTCAACTTCCCCCACTGATTTTGCTTGTTGACTGGGAGGATGGCAAATGGCAATCATGTGACCCTGGGATTCTCAAACCGTCATAAATATATGCTGGTTGCCAAGCAGGTCTTGATCACATGACCATGGGTGCTGCAATGAGTGAGAATCACCTATAAGTCACTTTCCCCCATACTATTGTAATTTCAAATGGTCACTAAAGGAATGGTTTGAACTGAAGACTGCCTGTATATCTTTCTGTTCAATTTTGGGAAAAACAATGGATCTTCAAGCTTGTTGTGAAAGGCAGATAGTTGCTTTGAGGAAGTTTTGTCCAGCATTTAAACTGGTTTAAAAGCTTTTTTATGGCCTCTTAAATTTAAAAGCACTGAAGTTGTTTTGACCATACTACATTTCATAAACTAGGGGGCACGGTGGCTCAGCAGTAAAAGACGCTAAGCTTATCAGTTGGAAAGCTAACAGCCCGGATTTGAGACCAGAGCGCTAAACAACAGGATGAGCTCCCATTACTTGTCCCAGTTCCTGGCCGCCTAGTAGTTTGAAAGCATGCAAATGTAAGTAGATAAATAGGTATCACTTTGGTGAGAAAGTAACAGGGTTCTGTGCACCTTTGGCTTATAATCATGCTGGCCATGGTGGCCACGAAAATGTCTTTGGACAATGCTGGCTCCATCAGCTAAGGAATGGAGATGAGCACCAGCCCTACAGTTGGACACAACTAGCCAGAAGAAACATTTATCTTTATGTTTACATTTTATCCTAAACTAGACCTGCCAATATGTCTTCAGTGTTTTCAGGAAAATTCTATATTGCAGAAAGAACCCAGTGAATCACATATGTCATATCTGTTCATTTAGTTATATAATACTATCTTAACACTTAGATTATATGCTGTTGTACATATTGAAAATATAGGATACAAAAAATAAATCATATCAATTTGCTTAAAAAAATATAATGCTATATCCTGCATTATGGTATAGGAATCAAATCTGTGAAAAAGAAACTAGATTCCTCTGGTTCAAACCTTGAGTATGTCACTAGGGGTGACATGATAGCAGTGTTCTGATATCAAGGGTTGCCACCAAGAATAAGGAGTCAAGCTATTCTCCAAAGTACCTGAGGGTAGGACAACAAGCAATGGATGGAAACTAATCAAGGAGAGAAGCAACCTAGAACTAAGGAGAATTTTCCTGCAGTTAGAACAATTAATCAGTGGAACAACTTGCCTCCAGAAATTGTGAATTCTCCAACACTGGAAGTTTTAAAGAAGAGATTGGACAACCATTTGTCTGAAATGGGATAGGGTTTCCTGTCTGAGCAGGGGGTTGGACTAGAAGACCTCCAAGGTCCCTTCCAACTCTGTTATTCTATTCTGTTCTGTTCTGTTCTGTTCTGTTCTGTTCATAGGCCAATCACAAACTATTGAATACTATATGATTTTAAAGAAAACCAGGAACAGAATTCTGCAAACATTAATTATATTTGTTCATTCATTCAAGGCTCAGTTCATATGATCAGGGCTCATGTAATCTAAACATGCTAAGGAAAACTCACACAGTAACAGCTTTCTGGAAAGGCTGCATATACTTAATTCTATAAAGGTCATGAAAATTTTAAATTAAAAATTTGGAACAAACTAGAAAAAGTGATACATTGCATTCGTAGAGTTCCTCATGTTGATCCTTTTTGTTTTTGAAGAGGTGTGATTTTATCTGGAGATACTAGAAAACTATTTTCTCAATCTCCTTCCACAAATCTATGTCCTACCATACAACATTTTTCGTGTCACAAAAGTGATTCTATTACCGTTCTTAATGTATCTTGAATGTGTGTCTGCTTTGTTTCAAAACCACTTCGAATTTTTTTTTCATAAATACTCGTCATTGTAGAAAGTTTGCAAAAAGGTGGTTTTTATCAACCACTGACATACTTTTTTTGAAAGAAGAAAAGAAAAGGAAAGGGGCAAGACATCCATATGGATAAAAGCATATGATGCATTTGTTCCTACATTTCAACTTACTTAGTAACTTACTGTGCTAAACTTCAGTGACCTAAAGTTTAAGGCACAACATTGAAAGGAAATCTGATTTAAGGAGGCAACATCTCTTATGGTTATAAGTTTCATATTTAAGGGATATTTAACAATTTGCAAAATGATAGCAATGCTACTGAAGAAGATGGCTCTAATAAAAATTATCCTAATGTTACATATGACTCCATCCTTTATCCGAAATAATACTGTATATACAGAAGGTTCTGACACAATACCAGTAAAATACCTTGCCTCCTTGGCAGGGTAAATAAGTCGGCTGAACTGTAAGAAGCTTAAGGAATTCTATTGGGAGGATCCAATTTTATTTCATTTTATTTTTGTTTTCATAGTCCTGAGACTCAGGCTTCATCTAAATAAACACTTTAGGCCCTCTATAATAACAGCAGCACAATTCAAAATAAATAGTATGTGAAGCTACTCTAATTATGCCAGAATAAGAAGACTTCTT